CACATTGACTAATTGAGTTAAACCAAGGATCAAATTGACCGAATTAAAAATAAAGAGACTATTTTAACATTTAAACCTTTATTTTAACCTAAAAGAAAGTAGTTATATATATATATATTGGGGAGCGAATGAAATACGAAAATCTAGTCGTTGTCGTTCCTCATAAGTAACGTAGAGGCCACCACATCCAAGTTAAGCATGTACTTTCTTAAGCCAATTTTCTTGTTAATGCTATTGCAATTCCTAGTTGCCATATATGTTTTCAAGTTGCTCTAATATATGTATGGATATAATTTCCTCTTGCTGTTTGTCCTAAGCAGCTATGGTAAATATTTGACTGTTTAGACTATTTACTTGAAGGAGGTGGTTTTCATACTCATTTTTAAGTTTTTCACACTTTTTTTTTTAGTTGTCGGATTGAATAATCAAACCGAAACAACGGAAGTGATTTAACAGTGTGAGTGATAACAATTTAATTCCCCTTTTGGGGGTTTGAGTTTATTCTTCTTTTGCAAATAATGTATCTTGACTGTACAAATTTTATAGTTGGAACCATTCAATTCTTAATCTTTATTTGAAGATCACCCTTACAAAAAATTATTTCACTTGGAGATCATTTAGTCATTCAAGTGTAGGATTCATGTGGTCCAATATCCTAATAGATAGGATGTTGAGTTTTCACCCATGCATCCCGAGTTCGAAACTCAAATTATTGTAATAGTTTCGAACTCTCACATTTCTCCTTAATAATAATAAAGTTTTCTTAGGAAAAAAAAAAAAAGTCATCCAAGTGGATAGAACAAATCGACAGTGTAAGTACTAAGTAATATATTTATGATGAACCATCAATTTATTTGATGTGTTTGGATGATTAAATGATCTCGAATTCGAATAATTTTTGTAAGAGTGATCTTCAAATGAAGGTTAATAAAGTGACTGCTTAGATCGTTGATTTCATTCGGTCAAGATATAATATTCATAAATAGAGGATATATGCATTCCAACATAGGAGGATGCAAGTATTATCCTTGAAAGTAATAATTCAACGCCAAATATGCCTAATTGGTAAAACGATTGTTAAGAGTGTAAATACTAGAATTCAATTAACAGTTAAACCATATACCTGGCTGCCTTAGGAATTAAGGGCTCCTAAAGTTATCCTAATTTGGTTTGGATTGGTGTACTATTTGGTGATGGGCAGTATATATACTTAATTAGGGCGTGCATATAAATATAAAGCGTAAGGTAATAGAAAATGGGAGAGAAATTCTCGAATAACATAAATAAATGTGCTTGAGAAAGTGCTGAATGGCATCAGGAGGAGTATTGGTGCAAAAGGCATCTTTCCCGCCGGTCCCTTTCGAAGCCCATCTCAAACACTATGTATGAAGTAGCAAAACTGTCTTCTAAGGTCCTCGTTTTGAGGACTTGTGAGGTCATTTTCATTTCTATTAATTAATGAAATTTTTTTTGTCAATTAAAAAAAATGAAAAGATTACTTAGTCTTCTATCACACAAGAAAAATGATGGATAATAATGTAATTTCACAAGTCCAAATTTTACTGTTTTTTATTGAAGCCTCGCCTACAGGTGATGTTAAAATATCTCCAATGTTAAAATAATAATAATAAAAAAAAACCAAAAACAAAAACCTCCCACTCCTCCCACGTTCTCTCTCTCTCTCCCTCTCTCCTTCTCATTTTCTATGTTCATACATACAAAGTATGTAGGTAAATGCTAGTATATACTAATCAGATTAATTTAATGGTAGATTGAGTTATCAATTTAAATAATCCATGTTACACCAAAACACAATAATTGTGCAAAGAAATTAAATTAAAAAAGATTCTTGCGTGAAATCTTCCGTCTTCTTCCCTTACCGTCTCTCTTCGCATCCCCTTTTCTCTCTCTCTCTCTCTCTCAATCATTCACTTTCATTCTCTCCTCCTGATTTTTGTTTTTTTTGGTTTTTCCTTTTGCGTTTGATAAAGGGAGAATGACTTGTTTCAATTAGGTTCGTCGGAAAATTTCATAAGAAAAAAGGAGTTCACGCGTTCAAGAAGGGATCCTAATTTTCATAGTCAATTTTTTTGCTTCTTTGTAACTAAATGGGTTTGAATATTATTGATAAATATTGGATGAAATTGGATGTGTAAAGTTATTAGGGTTTATCCAATTGGATTTGCTAAGTTTAGATATTCGATGAGAAGACTAGGTTTTGCAAATGGAAGAGATTCGATAGACGTGAAACCTTCTTCTCTCTTCTTATTTTATTGTGTTTTTATATTATCAATTAGTATTTTATTTTCGTGTAACAAGAACTATTTAAGTTGATAGTTTAATCTATCGTAAAATTAATCTAATGACTCATATAAAAATAAAATAAAAATTAACCTGACGACTCATTAAAAAAAAAAAAAAAAAAAAAAAAAACCTCATAGGCCCTTATTTTAGGAGAGCAGCTCTCTTTGACAATGTCACGAAATGCCATTCACTATTTTGTTTCCTTTTAATTAAAGACTATATTATTAAGGTCGCATACCCTAAGATCTATGCTGTGCTTATCATTCATTTATAAATTAAAACATTTGTGCTCACTGCATAAAGTGTTGAATCATATTTCGTCGAAACTTCGTTTTGCAGTGAAGACAGCCAACATAAGTCACAGCTGCAAAAGCATACAAAAATTGGTCGTTTGGTTTGACACTTTAAGCTCCAAATTCAATAAAATAAATAATGTTTTTTCGAAGTTACGAAGAAAAAACATTAATAATAAAAGAAAGGATTGTAGCACATGTTGCCTGTTTTAGTAGGCGATTTATTATTATTATTTTTAACAATAAGCTCTTATTTTATACATCCAAAAGAATTTCCTGGCGCGTAAGAGTTAAATTAGATCGTCATTTTTTTTTTATAGTTTTTCTATTTAATCATATTTTTCAGATACGGGAATTAATGTTCTTACCATTAAGTAACAAAACTATTTTTACTAACACTAATCGATCACATCTTCTAAAAGTTAAGTGTTAACTTCTTACGTGTAAGGGACTTGTAACTCAAGTATGGATTAAAATTATTACTTATATAGGTCCTAGGATCAATTCATCTCTTCCTACTATCTCAACAAACGGGTAGACGTTATACATAAAGAAGCAAGTGTTTGATAAACATATTATAGAATGTCTATAATAACTCTCATAACTAACGAACATGCAGTGTTTCACAACAATTTAACTACATAACGTTGATGCATTTAACCATATAATGTTTCTGCATTATGAATGAAACTATGGGGAGACGAATTCATCTATGAAGATTCTCAATGAATGTACTCTTTCATCTACATAAAAAAAAACAACTTACATGGTACGAGTGCAGCGTCACTTGATATTCTTTGTTAGTGAGTTAATAATATCCGGACAAAACTTTACATATATCTTTATTTATTAGTACAAAACGCTATTATATGTATGTTTTCGTTCACGTTTGTCATTCTTCTGCTTAGAAGGTTTTCTCCTCATTTACATGATATTTTTTATATCAAAAACACAACTCAATATACTAAGCATCATTATACTAGTAATTTGATACTTGAAAAAAACCTTCTAACCACTTGTACCGACACAATAAAAAATTTCTCATAATTAACCCGCGTAAAGAATTTGTCGGTTCAAATTCACAGAGACAGTCAAACCCAAGTGCCAGCTGGAATTGCCACATGTCAAATTAACTTTGTTGAACGCTTATTTTTCAAACTTTTTCCCCTGGGAAATACGCAGCAGAGTTATGGCAGGCGAGCGCGTCGATCACCGTTGAGTTGGGACCTTCCCCTTTCACAGCAGAGCAATATCATGGGGAACCGCGTACAGTCAGAGGGTCCCCTTAATGCAATCCAGTCGGACCTTCCCCGTACACCAACTTTTCTTTATTACAGATCCGACGGCTGCGGGGACAATCTGTGACGGATGAGCATCACCTGCGGGTAAGAAGGACGAATTCTGAGAAGGAAGAGAGACTTGGTTGCTCGCCGGAGGAAAAGGACAAAGATTTGTTGCGAACCAGCTCGCAACTAAAATCACGCTGGCCAATAAGAAACGGCCACGTCGGCAGAGCAATTATGTGATAGCAACACGTAAAAGACAAAACAAAAATACCGTACATTTAATGGTAGTTGACCAAACAAACCAGTGCGCCGGAACGACGGCCTCGGCGCGGATGTTGTTGCAAGCGCGGACAGATGCAGCAGATTACAGCCCCCGTCGTTCTACTTCTAGAAGCAAAATTGGTGATTATTTTTCAAACTCCATGTTGTACTTAGTGCACCTGTGATTAAAACTTGCAGGGTTCTTTTAATTTTAGTATACGAAAAGTTATATCTAAGATTAATTTTGATTTGTAGAGACGTATTTTTGAGGCATGTAAATTGCCTACCTAGTTAAAGAGATATTGTTTTTGTTTTTTGCTAAATATAAAAGGAAAGTTAAACATGTTATATCAAATACACATCGTATACAAGTCGATTGAAAACTATATCCAAACTATATACATACACACCATATTAATCGAATTATAAATATAATTTCAAAGTTGAATAATGCTACATGTAATGTATGGCGCGTTTACTTGTCAAGAAACGTTGAACATAAATATCATCCTTATCATAAAACATAGAATAGGAAATGGAATCTATTACGATACACATCGTGTACAAATCAGGCACATTGTATACTTATCTAATACACCTCGTATCAGTTGAATTATAATCATAATTCTAAACATAGCAACGTCACATGTACGACACTGCGTAATCTACTTGTCAATAAATATCGAATGTAGAATTCACGTCCATTAGAGACGCGCTAAGTAAACATATGAGAAACAGTGTTGAAAAATAAATTGATGACGTGGCAATCTTTAATCGGTAAAAAATGGAATTTATTTTGCGGTTAATTTGCATCACAAACCAGCCCCTCCCCCATATAAATTGAAGAATAGGGTCACAAAAAAGTACAAAGAGAGTCTGTCACTTTGTGTCTGAGTTTTGCAAACGCATTCTCCTTTCTTTCTTCTTCTTTCATTCTGCTCTGTTTTCTTGGTTGGCTGGTTTTCTATGCTTTTTTTTGGGTGCTCTGTTTTTGTGCGCCAGTTGAGATAAAAAGCAGTGAGCACAAGAAGAAAAGAAAAAGGGGAAGACGATGAGCTGCTTTTGCTGGTCGAAGAAATCAACCAAAGAATCAGAGAAGAAAACTACCCACGTCAACACCAACAAACCCAATCATCAAGGTAAGAATTCTTTTCCGAAATTATTTGATTTAATTCTGGGGTCATTGAATAAAACCCATGTTTTATATGATCGTATTTGATTTTTTTGGATGATTTTATTTTATTTTTGGCATTGTGGGTTTTATTTTTGGATGTTATAATTTGATAATTTTCTTTCCTTTTTCTAAATCTGTTTGAATTTTTTGGGTAGTACTCTTTACCCTACCTGGGTTTATGCGTGTCTTTCAATCTGTGAATAAAAGCCATTAAATTTCATCCATTGTATGAGTTCTTGAATTTCTTCCATTTTTTTACTTATATAATTCTAGGGTTGAATTTTTTGAATTTGGTTTTGAATGGCCATTCTTTGCCGTGAGATTAGTGTCAATTTTTGAAATTTTGCAGTGGATGAGGAAAGAATTATGGCTGAATTTTTGTCTAGTGAAATGGGATTTAATCACATATATGAAATTTTATTTTTGTTCATCTGGGTTTATGTTAAATTGTTAATTTTCTCATCTGGTGCTAAATTAATAAATTTAATTTGATTCCTGTTGCTGTTCATTGAGACAGACTGTTGCTCATTCATTTTGTTTGTTTCTTTGCTTGGTTAGGAAGGTCCAATCTATATTCCACACTCCTTTTAGTTTCGAATTTTGTCAGTTTGTATTCTTTGTTTGCATTTAGAATTGCATGACTCCGATATTTCACCCCATAAATTGATAGAATTAGTCGATGTCGAATTTTTGGATTTTGGTTACCATGTGCTGTATTTTGTCTTTTTTCTTGGCATTCTCAAATCTCATGTATATTTGCCCGTTTTGATCCGTGAAGTGAATACGAATGGGAATGTGAAAAAAGAATTGGGTGTGAAAAAGGAACTGGGTGTAAAAAAGGAGGAGGCGATGAAGGATGACCAGTTGTCGTTGGATGTAAAGGAGTTGAAAATAATCGAGGGTTCCAACGATGGAAAAACCACTGGCAAGCGGGCACAGACATTTACATTTGCTGAACTTGCAGCAGCAACTGGCAATTTCAGGTCTGATTGCTTTGTAGGTGAAGGAGGATTTGGAAAAGTTTACAAGGGTTGCTTGGAGAAAATTAATCAGGTCCGTAGTGATTATGTGAATGTTAGTTCTATCATTAAATCGAGCGTTTTTAACTCAAATTGTTACAATTGTTTTCAACTGTTTGAACTTGTACGTGGAATTGAATTCTGCTGGGACATTACTCGTACCCTTTTATGCCATTGTATCAAAAAATGTGTTTTGTTCCTTGAGTTTCATTTAGTAAATGACTTATAAGCTCAAGGACTGACCCGAGTTTGCTATTGTTGTGGTTCTAGGATGTTGCTATTAAACAGCTTGATCGTAATGGATGCCAAGGACTTAGGGAATTTGTTGTCGAAGTATTGACGCTTAGTTTGGCTGACCACCCTAATCTTGTCAAACTGCTTGGATTCTGCGCCGAGGGAGAGCAGAGGCTATTGGTTTATGAATATATGCCATTAGGATCTTTGGAAAACCATTTGCATGGTATGCAGCTGAAACAATCCAAAATACTGCTCTTGTTGTATGATCGAGATTACCATTTCACTTTCTTTTACATCTGCCCCTTATTATCGCAATGTGTTTGAATTAAGTATCACATTTGTTTTGCTTTTCAGGTCTTTCACCCGGAAGTAAGGTGCTTGACTGGAATACAAGAATGAAGATAGCAGCTGGTGCTGCGAGGGGTTTAGAGTATCTGCATGAGAAAATGCAGCCCCCTGTTATATACCGTGACCTGAAATGCTCAAACATTTTGCTTGGTGAGGGGTATCATCCAAAGCTTTCAGATTTTGGCTTGGCTAAAGTAGGTCCCAGTGGAGATAAAACTCATGTTTCTACTAGGGTTATGGGTACGTATGGGTATTGTGCACCGGATTATGCCATGACAGGTCAGCTGACTTTCAAATCAGATGTTTATAGCTTTGGGGTTGTTCTTTTGGAGCTTATCACAGGAAGGAAAGCTATTGATAATACAAAACCCGTCAGAGAGCAGAACCTGGTAGCATGGGTAAGATAGCTCTAGTTGCATTCTCTTCTTTGATATCTACTATTGCACTTCATTCCATGGAATTGAATATGTTGATTTCATGGTAGCTGCTGTCCTTTGAAATATTGCGTGGTATGCAATAATATCGGAAATGCTGATGGTTCTGGCAGCCCTTGTTAATCAGATTTGTAGGCGCATTTTAGGTCGGGCCCAACCGCCCAAGAGGCTGGATATAATTTACCAGTAGTTTGATTTCAGAACTGGTTGTGTATCCTTAACCGTTACATTGTTTTCAGGCAAGACCCATGTTCAGAGACCGGAAGAAATTCTCATTAATGGTGGACCCGTTGCTTCAAGGTCAGTATCCAGTCAGGGGATTATACCAAGCTCTTGCCATTGCTGCGATGTGCGTTCAAGAGCAGCCCAATATGCGGCCTGTCATAACGGACATAGTTACAGCGCTGCATTACCTTGCATCCCAGAAATATGACCCCCGAACTGATCCAGGTCAAACCTCGAAAAGGGGTCCATCTTCTCCAAGATTGAAGAGTGATGATGATATAACGCAGATTGGAGGAGACAGGCCAGAGAGAGACTGAGCCGGAGGATTAGGTTATAGAATAAAGCGGCCAATACCATTTTTGTGGCCTTGTAGATGATGTGCCTGGTTATCAATTTTTGCATCATAGAAGATAACAGGTACTACTGCCATCCTCAATATTCATACAAAGAGAATTTCTGCCTTTTCTTCTCTTTTTTTTTTGTTTTTTTTTTTTTGTTTTTTTGCGGTGTACATGAGAGATGGCGTTTCTTGTATGTAAAATGCTTCGTTGTAGGAACATTTTCCCATTGGATTAGTTACCCTTAATTTCTATAAAAGTTCCATTCTTTGGCCGGATGCCTCCTTTCTCTCTTTTTGTTTCCCTTGTCTCCATCGACGCAGGTAATGCGAATACCAACCCATGCCTTAAACTCCTTGTATTCTTGACCAAGCCCGTCACGAATAGATTCGATGAGCTCATCATCAATGATGCTGGAACTAGCATGGTGGAGAGAATCAGAAAGACTTCGAGCATGCAGTAAGTAGTCACTCATAGGTTTCTCGGGAGTTTTCTTCAAGTTACGGAGTTGGTCTCGAATTCTGCGAATGCGAGTCTTAGAGAGGGGAGAGAGACGCTTCTCCAAGAGTGACTGTGCGTCATAGGCAGTGGTGCAAGAAAGCAGGATAGGCTTGATGGGGGAGGAACAAGCTGCTTTAATAAAACCGAGGACCAGTTTGCCTTGAGAGTAGGCGGGCTTGACGGAGCCGTCGTCGAGCTTTTTGGAGGGTTTAGAATTATAGGCCATAGTGCCTTCAAGAGACCATGAATCTCAAGAACATCTTGAAATTGAAATGGCCAACTGAGAAAATTGACTTTTGTACATCATTGACTTCTGTACAACAGTTACAGGTAAGTAATAGTACAATTAATGTAATACAATCAGCGAGTTTATTATGATGAAGAAGATCCTGGCTGAGTGGAGACAATTGAGGGATTCTTGTCTGGTTGACTTGTGCAACGTTCCTCTGCAGATTTGGTGGCTGTGATAGTTCCCTTGTCAGATATCTCCACGCTTCATTTCTCGAGACTTGGTGATCTTACTGAACTTGACTTATGAGCCAATAACTTCGGTAATTTGCCAACAAGCCTTACTCATGTAGGTCCTTGAAGCAATTGGATTGAGGCGAAACCATTTGGAAGGACAAATGCAACCTGACATCGTTTCATTGAAATCATTGTCCTTCCTCTCGCTTAGTTACAAACGATTCACAAATGTTACAGGATCCATGAGGATATTGATGGGTTGCAAAAATCTTCACACGCTCCTCTTTACAGGTTCTTTAACAGACGAGGACCATCTGATGAGGATGCGGCGGATTTTGATGGACTTCAAAATCTTCGGTACTTGGGTTTGGGTAAATTGTGAGCTCATCGGTCGAATACCTGAAAGGTTATCAAATCTCAAGAATCTGGAGGTCTTGGAGCTGAATAATAATAGAATCACAGAGCCAATTCCTAGTTGGTGGGAAGTCTTCCGAGGCTGTATCATATATACTTGGAAAGCAAGTTGATTAATGGTGAATTTCCAAAGGAACTTTGTACACTTCCAAGTTTGGTGTCTGAACCTACTACAAGCATATATAGACCATTACGATCTTGAAATGCCTGCTATTCTGGTCCGCCTGAAGATTCAATTTTTTGCAGCACACATTGTCTTACTTTCCAGTTGGGATATTCTTAAATGACAACAGAATCTGTGGCAATATACCTTCTGAGATCGGTCAATTGAGGCTTCTCCAAGGGTTGGTTCTAGGCACGAACAACTTCTCTGGTGGTATTCCGGACAAAATAAGTGACCTAAAAGAATTAGAGACTTCGGATCTCTTTGCAAATGATTTGTCCTGAAAAGTCCCATCATCATTGGCAAGCCTGAATTTCTTGAAAGAGTTTAACGTCTCATACAATAATCTCGAAGGTCCAATACCAACAAGCACACAGCTCAAAGGCTTCAACGCTTCTGCATTTGAAGGGAATCCGAAACTTTGCGGCCTCCGGCTTCCGAATAAGTGCCAACATAACAAGGACATTGATGCAGATGATAAAAACAATGAAGACGCAGACAATGAGCATTAATTTCCATGGTTTTAGATGTTCCTTGCGTTAGTGTTTATTGTAGGGAATTTGGGGAGTGTGGTTCCTTGATTATTATGAAGATATTTTCAATTCCTAGGCGATGTACAAGATAGGCTCTGTGTCATGATAATATCGTTCGCATAACCAGGATTAAACGAAGGCTTAGTGGCTAGAGTACTGTACCTTTTATGCCACTTTTTTGTAATACTACTTGGCTAATTAGGAGCCCGTCCTCCACATGGCTCCGTCTCTGTAGGGTTTAAAGAAATTGTTCCTATGGTTTATTCTACTCATCGCATCATTGTTCATAATGTTCTGACATCGATCTTCTTGCCAAGGACGTCTATTTTATCAGGTTTATGATGTATGCCCTACCGGGTTTTGTGGTACGCTGTTGGCCTTAGGCCAATATTTGTAGAGGTTTTGTGACATGCATCCCCATATTTTGGTTATATACTCGCAAGGGAGATTTTGGTAGGGTTGGTTGTGATTGAGTTTTTTGGGGTTTAGATATAACTAGTAATTGTGCCCGCGCGTTACCGCGGGTTTTAAAAGTGTATGCATAAAATTTGCAGAAAGTTTTACAAATATATATGTGAATTCATCATATTTACAGGAAGGAAAAAAAAAATATAGAAATAACAGATGGTACAGCTTTGTTTTGGTAATGGAGCAATTGTAAGAAACAATGTATTTGTAATCCAAAGGTTAAATTTGTGTTGTAGGGTGTAAAAAAATGTTGATTCAAATGTCAGTTTGTGAAGGTCGTTAAGTGTGTAAATTGACAGTTATCGCGGATGAAAGTGTTTAGGTCTTTAATATTTAACAAAGGGTAGAAATAATATTGTTCTTGTTAACAAGTTAAACAGTTGACAAATAATTTTATCAAAGCAAATAAAAGATGGTGGTAGAATGGTGTGATAGGAGCATTTTTATGCGACTTAATTGGCTTGTTCTCATGCATTTATGTTGTTTTTCCTTAGTTAGTTTAGTGTTTAAAGTCATTTTCGTGTAATTTCAGGTTTTAGTGTCAAAGTATGCAAAAAGAAGCAATTTGGAGCATTCTAGAGCATTTTTGGGCCAAGATTGGATAGTGCAAGCATGGAGGCATGAGGATGGACGAATTTGAAGGCTTGAATTCAGTTAGGGAGCTGCAAGGGGGCCTAAAAACCTTATTTCTAGAAGGCTTTATCTATTCACACATGGTGCCTAATTTCTGTATTGGAAGAACAAGCCGTCCTAGCTTGTCACTAGCCGTCCTACCTTGTCTCCTAGCCGTCCTACCTTGTCTCCTAGCCGTCCTAGCTTGTCACTAGCCGTCCTACCTTGTCTCCTAGCCGTCCTAGCTCGTCACTAGCCGTCCTAGCTTGTCACTAGCCGTCCTAGCTTGTCTCCTAGCCGTCCTAGCTTGTCTCCTAGCCGTCCTATCTTGTCTCCTACCTTGTCCAAGCCGTCCTACCTTGTCCAAGCTACACACATATATCCTTTAAGTGTTTCATGTATAGAATTTCTGGTACAAAACCTTTTGGTTTCAACTAAGTTCTAAACCTTTCCTAGCCCTATAAATAAGGCTTTGTAGCAAGGCACTAAGGGGATCACTCATTCACCCAATTTTCGTCCATTCATCTAGCCACACCACTCTACACATCCTAAAATCCTAGAAACACAATTCCAACCAAACACTACACCTTGCCGTGCCTATCCTCCATCCAATTCCATAATCCCTGATCCTAAAACACATCCCAACCATCCCTTCCACCTTTGTGCCGTAGCAAGGAGAAAGAAGGAAGGACTCTTGGATGCTCAAGCTTCGTCGTTGGTGCATTCTAGGTGTAATTCGTTTTATGATTTCAATGTTTAATTTATTTTCCTTTCATTTGCTATGAACATGAGTGGCTAAACCCCTATTGGTTAGGGGTGATTTCGAAGCCATAACTATGTGTGCAAGATGATTTGATAAATTCCAGTTATGAGTTCTTGAATCGTGAATGCAATTGGCTTAACTGTGCGAGTAATAACATATTTGTGTTTGTTAATTAGGGGTCGACACTTAATTGGCTTGCATGAATATGATGCTAGAATATAAGTTTGTTTCACATAATTGTCACACACTTATATTCACAAGTAGTGAAGGTTGCTAGTCACAATCGCGTTAAGTTCAATTCCTAGCATAAGCGTCATGATGTCATAGTCACAAGTGCTTTGTCAATGCTTATAGTTTTCATTGAACGTAATGATCTTTGATTGTATCTTTATTATGATGTCATGTAAGGAACTTTTGAAGAATGCTTTGGGTTGTCGTATGATGTCATCCAATTCAATAACACAAGGAAAACTTGAGAATTAACTAGTGATGTCACGGTTAATTTGGGGCATTGTCATTCATAATTCTATGAAGGAATAACTGGAAATCGAGTCATTTGCATACTTGTCATGTGTGGAGAAAGAACCCCTAACTAGTCCATCATCCATTAAAAACCCCAAAAACGTTTCAAAATCAGTTTTACTTTGCAATCTGTTTTCTCAACTTTAATTTCGTCCAAATCAAATCCCCCTTTACTTTGAAGTCTCAATTTAGTTAGAAATTGTTTTGGTTCATGTTTTTAAGTGTTTTGAGTCAAGTTTTCAACCAATTTCGTCCAAATTAGTGTAGGTGCTCAAAACTGCCCAGAAAGTGGTTTTTAGGCAGTTTTGAGTCTTCTAGTTGTTGTTTTGAGTTTTTGTTTTGTTTTAGTGTTTTAACTTTGGTTTTTCATTCTTTGAGTCCAAATTAGTGTTTTTAACTTTGTTTTGGAGTTCTTAGGTCAGTTTTCAAGAGTTTAGCAATCCCTCCTAATCCCCGGTTTTGAACGATCCCTACTTACATACTTTGCTACAATTGTCAGAAGAGGGTTTAATTTGTGTGCTTAATATATTTCGCATCAAATTTTTGGCGCCGTTGCCGGGGATTAGCAACTTTGCTAATCCCTTGTATTGTTTTTGTTTCATTTATTTCACTTTGTTTCTGATTTTGTTTTAGTTTCTGACCTATTTTTGTTTCTTGTTTTTTAGGTACTAGTGCATGACGCGGAGTTCTCAAACTGTGCATGCACATATCTTAGACTTTAACGACGAATTTGAACGTGATTTGAGAAGAAAGAGGAGGCATCCCGAACGTAGTGAACCTAGTTCAAGTTCAGAGGCCGAATCTGAGTTTGAAGAAGTGGAAGAAGAAGTTATGGCA